CCCTAAGATAGATTGCAAATCAAATATGAATTGGATGTGCTTTATATATATTAGTTATTGGATTTTGGTCCAGTTGATTTTGTGACCAACGGGAACAAGTATGATTTGGGTTGAGCAGCTTATGGTTTTGTAGAGTTTGTAATTACTTTAGACCTGTTGGGTATCTGATTTAGAATACGGTACCGAAGAAAACTATGACATCTTCTTCTCTATACGACTTTTGATCCCTCACTACATCAGTAGCGTACCACTCTGTTTTATTTCCCTTTTTCCTCTTATGCTGAGGTTTTTCTAATTTACTGCGTTTCAGGGACCAACTGAGAAGGAGCAAATTGATGTTCAAGGAGATATAATCTACGATATCGTTGAATTCATTACAGACACTTGGCCCGACGTAACATAACTTATCCCTTTTCTAAACCTGATCTGTTCTTGTTTTTCTCTGCATTCATGTGATATCTTATCTGATTGAGTAATAACTAGTGTAAATTGGTTAGACAACTCATGATTGCTTCATTTGGCTATATTCAGGTACCTGAAAGATCCATTTTCTTCATCGAAGATGGTAAGAAGGTTCAAGCTGCTTGATGAAATCGCATTTGTCCTGGGTTTTTGGCATGGCAGGTTCATGTAGACGAGCTAGTTTCCAAGTCCTCCCATGTTTTTGGAGGATATTGCGCTGCCATAATCAGCATAACGTATAGTTGAATTATCATACTATTTTCTTATTCCAGTTGCGATAATTCTGGTGTGTCCAAACATTTCTGTTTTTTGGTCTCTTAATATTTATATTTTGCCTTGAAATAAATGTTATCTTCATTCTTGACCCACTTTTAGCTTTAATCCCACACCATAATTTTATCCAGCAGTATGACACTTTGGTCTCTTACTGTGCTTAAATGGATTAATCAAACCGTCTATTATCATAGAAAAAAACCAGACCAACCTGAGACATTAAGATATTTAGAGTTGTGACTTGATAGGAACAACTGGTCTCACAATGTCTTGGTTACTTGTACTAACACAATTTTTCTTGGGATCCAATTTGAAGAATGAGAGAACAATAGAAGCAAGCTGATCCTGGTGATAAGTGAACTCATGATCAGCTCCTTCGATAAGACGCAGTTTGTGATTCTTTATGTATCTGGCAAATTCGGAAGCTTCTGTTACAGGCACGATTCTATCGTTTGACCCATGAACCGTTAAGACCCTGAATTTTTTTTAAATATCATTAGTTCCTCTATCAGACTGAAACCAAAGGAGAGAAATCCTTATAGAGTATGATGATAATGAGAGTGATTGGAGATCTCACCTGCAGTTCTCATGAATTGAGAGGCATGCTTCATGAGTATTGGTTGTGAGACGGTCCATTAGACTCTCTTCGGTTACCCGATATTCAAACTTTCCTGCAAAGAAAAAAACGAAGCAAGAAGTTGTCTCCAACAGTTCTAGTAAGTGCAAAAAACACAATGTTCTTTGGCTTTGACAATCACAAAACTCAAAAGCTGGAAGATTTACCCTTTCTGTTCCGAACATCGATGAATCCATTCTCTTCGATTCTCTTGAAGTAGTCCTGACCAAGCCGGCCTTCGATTCCTCTCTCAAGAAAAAACCGGCCTGAGATATTGACAACTGTCTGCACATCCTTGTACTTTGCTGCATACAAAAGCACCACATTTCCACCTGACAACAACAACAAAGTTCCAGTCTTCATATTTACTTTCTTGAAATCCAAAACAAGAAATCCCCCTTACTATTACGTTTTCAGACCTTTACTATGTCCGATTATTGCAGAAATCTTACGGTTTTCCCCACGCAAGTGTTGCAGAACAGAGCGGAGATCTTCAGCCTCACGGCGATAGTTACCATACTGAAATGATCCTTCGCTTTCCCTGGAAGCCCAAAAACATGAGATAAGCAACATAGAACACTTGACCATTTTGAAAGGAAGAAAGATAACTGATAAATTCACTTATGCGACTAAAAAAGGATGTAAGATAGATTCACCCGTTGCCAGCGAAATCGAACCGGAAAGAGCTGATCATTTCTCTTTCAAAGACATTAGCAATGGTCAGCATTGGAATCCGATCCTACAAGGATATATAAACATTATAGTGTTAGAGTAAGTTGTAAATGATGAAATTTGATGAGAATGCTACAAAAAGCAAACCTTTGATGACTGAAACCCATGGCAGATGACAACAATCTCTGTAGAACCAGTATCATGCAAAACCCCCACAAGTTTCTCACCATGACTGTTCTCGATTACAACTCTTCGGTGTTGAATCTCTGCTCATAATCCCAGACAAGAAAAATTCAATCACACACTTGATAGAGATTGAAAGCTGATTGCATCAGTTCATCAACACAATCGAATTGCTAGTTATAAGAACAATCGAGCATAACCTCGTCACACATCAAAATCCAAACGAAACA